TTTGGTGTCTGTAAACCTTTGAAGGTGCTCTGGGAGCCTATCTAAATTTGGGGGGTGAGGGGTGGGAGAAGCACACACGGGCAATTATATATTTAAATTATATTTAAATTGGTTTAAACCAACAGGTTTGGCAGAAGACCTTTTATAAACAAGCCTCCTTGAGTTTGGTGTGCTTTATCTCTCCATAGCTCCTTCTAGAGAAGGAGACAAGATATAATTGTTTTTTTGTTTAAGCAAACAACACTTCCTTCTAATGTTCAAATTGTGCCAAACTAGTTGGCTTAAACCAGTGTTTTTCAAACTTGGCAACTTTAAGACGTGTGGACTTCAACTCTCAGAATTCTCCAGCCAGCATGGAGAACTTGGATGGGCTCCAAGAGCATCTTCAAAAATTTACAGGCACCAAATTGTGATTTTTTTAATCTCACAGAAGAGAGGAATTATTAAATACTAGGGGAATTATGACTTTTAATTTAAATAATTACGTTTCATCAGATTGAGTTAGTTTTGGCACTTTGGCTTGTCTGCTCCAGCTCCACCTGGTTGTTTGAGTGTGCCTCCTTTAGCCCGAGAAAGATTATGTAGTCATGGTTTACTGTAATCTTCCAAATGAAACAAGCCAGAATTAGAATCCGTGCTTTCTGGATTGTTTCAGAAACAATAGTTTAAACTAATCAGAGTTTAGCTCACTCTGGGAGGTAACAAATGACAACTAGGAAACAAGGAAATCTCTACCTCTAAAGGACGTAGGAATGCTGAAATCCCATTCCCTTGTAGCAAAGCAGGTTAAGAACAGAAGCCAAAAAGAGACACAGCAGAAAAATATATTTCCTTAGGGTCACTTGCTAGCAGAGGAGCCCAAACTAGCTTTCCTAAGAAATATACTGATTATATTATAGTTGTCTTTTAATTCCCTTATAATTTGTAATTCTCTCCATTACAGACATATGAAGAAGTGGGTGAAGATGCATTAGAAGGTAAGTTGCTTATTGTAATTCCTTGTTAAAAGGAGAAATTAATTTTCCTTTCCTAATCTGGCAAACCAAACCAAACCACTTCTGGGAAAGTGGAAAGCTTTGGGAGGATTGAAGTATCAGACATTTAGGGGGATAGGAGTATAGATGTATTATAATTGGATATACTTGCTAATCCAAGCAAGTATGTGCATTTGCGATACTATAGAGCTGCTAGTGGGAAGAAAGTCCCAGTTTCTTCAGATTTCATTTGATCAAAAGTGTGCTTTTGATATGCTATATTTATATAACACTTTCCTAAGACTATACGCCAACAGTTTGAGAAACAAAGTTTTACAGATTTTTGTCCTCTCTCAATTGGATTAAAATGTTTTCCATCATTTCATAAGTTACTATGCTTGAGATAAATACATGGAAAATGGCCCAATTTTGACAATTGCATCTTTATTTCACAAGCTGCTGTATGAACAAGCCTTTTGTTTACACAAACAGCCTCTTTACACTAAGTTTGGACAAAACATTGAACAATTGTAGGGGTTCTGGTTTAATTGTAACTTGTTCAAAGAGACTGCGTGTGCAGGTAAAATTCTTGTTTATATAGGAGCTTGTCAAAGATACGATGGTCCAAATCAAGAAGGCTTCTGTATTTCAATATTCACACAAATGCCTCCCGAAATTCACTCATGTAGGCTTCCTTTCTTTTTCAGACCCAATGCCCCAGATGGACGTGAGTGAAGCAAACAAGCAGTTTATGGAGCAGAGCGAAGAACTCTATGATGCCTTGATAGAATGTCATTGGCAGCCTTTGGACAGTGTGTCTTCAGAGATCCAAGCTGTGTAATTGCCTTGTTGCTGATGTGCTCCCTCCGAGCCACGTGCCAGTGCGCCTTGGATTCCTGCCAAGCACATGGAAGTCGCAGCTGCAAACGGACTGGTCCCTCTGTCTCTTTCCTCCGGATTCTTAAGTCAAGAATGCAGAGGACAGCCTGGAGCACTTCCTGAACTCATGGAACAGCAGCAGAGGACTGTGGTCACGTTTATTTGAGATGAAATTAGAACTTGGAGACTTAGTTTTATTTCTTCTCCCTTCCCACCCCCACCCTTTTGATCTTAAGGCAAGACTTGTTTATCCTAGCCAAGAAGTTCTAATTTATGGACTAAATAAAAAAAAATGGGAAATCTTACTTCCATGTACAATAAAAAATTATCTTTTACACAGTAGGTGGGGTATCTGGTGTTCTCCATAGAGTAAATGGGATTAGGAGTCAGAAGCTGGTTCATGGAACAGTTCCATGAACACTTTCCTTTTATGCTGAAAAGAATCTCCTTAGAAATGATTTTGAAGCAAAACTGCAGTATGAAAAAAAATCTTTGAGGGAGCAGGTGAAATAAATTGGACAAATTTCTAGCTCTTTCTGAGGTTGATACAAATTGTACGTTCTGAAGCATGTACAGGCTACTTCTAAAACAACCAGACTGTCTGTTTTAATATGAAGAGTCTAAGGTGATGAGAGAAATTTTAATTGCGTACTCAGTAGCTGGATAATACCTTTATTAGGAGCCAGTGAGTATGCAGAAATGTGTCCTAGGACTTCAAAACTCTTCTGATTAGCAAGGTGGTAAAAAAAAAAGAAGCAAAAGCAGTCCACAAATCAAGCCAGATGTTTCACTCATGAGCTGTGCAGTTCAGAGTCAGTCTCAATATGAAGATGAGCTAAATGCAGTAATTACTGATAGGAGTTCCTAGTATCGGATTACAACTTGCATTTAAAGAGAGAAGAATAAAAGCTGCTTCCCCCAGTTTTGAATGCACAAATACAGTCTTTTATATTATTGTTATATGATGCAAAGAAAGGTGGGGATTTAGAAGCTTTAAGCAATGCTGGGCCAGTTTTACAAATTGGCATTTTTGGCATCTCCAGGTAGGTCTAGATGAAACGTCAGCCTGAAACGGAGGAGTTGCCTTGCTTGTTGCTGTAGAAGTTGTATTGTTAACAGGATGATTCTCGTGACTACGGTGCATTTATTGTAGTGAAGATTAAACAAAAATTGCTAAAAGCAAACGGGCATTACATCAGGAGTAGATGCCCACCTAGTTAATTTCTGCATGGAAAGGAAAATGCGTACATTTACAGCAGGGCTTATTTCCAATTTAGAAATTAAGAGAAATTTACGCGAGTCACTAAGTCTTACTGGGTAAGAGTAACATGTAAAAATTGTGTACCTGTGATAACGGAACATCTAAGTAAATATATATTGAATCGTATGATTTTTTTACATCAGGTAATGCTGTATCTGAAAATCAGAGTACATAACCTTTCACAGGATTGTGGACAGGTTGTAGCTCTCAAACATTTGATCCACATGCAGAACATTTGGGGTTTGATTCCAGCATCTCTAGATACAAAGACTGGGGGGGGGGGGGGGGTGGAATGTGAAAAAAAATTAAAAAAAAAAAAGTGCATATCCAGAGTTCCTCTGGATGCACTTTGGTTATAAATCCTGGTTTTCATTGCCACAAAATGGCAGCTTTAGGTAATGTATTAAATTTAATGCCTCCTCTAGTTAGAGATCAAAACACCCACCTAGCTGTTAATTCTCATTAGTGTCACAATTTGGCGCAGGTCCACAAGCATGTGCATATTAAGGATGCACATGGTCTTTTGAATAGGTCCCCAGCATTTTTAAGATACCAAGGATATGCTGAATTGGAAGTGCAGGGATACCTGCACCTGATTTTCAGCAAGTAATTCTTGAAATGGGTCGCTAAAAGTTTAATTTTTTCTGTTTGCAAAGAAGTGGCGAGAAAGATGATTTTCAAGCAATTCGGTCAAACATATTAGAGGTCTTTTGTTTGTAAGTTCCAGTTGGAACAAACTGGATTGTTTTCTCTTTCTTTTTAATGCTAATAACCCATTGTTTAAAATAACCCTATCCATTTCTTCCCCTGTTCATTCGTTTGATACAATAAAATCTTTACAAAACAACTTGAAAGCGTGCGCCCTCTTGACCTAGCGTGGATTTGAGGTGAAACTACATTTCCCAAGAGCCCTTTCAGGACGGCTTCGTGAAAGGAGCCAATGGAAGTCGACGTTCGCGGGCGCTATAAAAGGCTACGTCCGAGAGGGCCGCGCTCTTTACGTGCTCGGAGGCCGGCGGGCGAGTGTGCTCCTTTTTTGCCGCGGGGCGAATCTTCTCCATCCATCGCCATCCCCCTGTTTCATCCGAAGCGACTCCTGCTTAGGCGCTTGACTGCGTAATAAGAGAGTCCAATATCCCCGGGGAGAAGTGAAACGCAACCAAGCGGGCCCCGGAGCTTGGTTCTGCTCCTGGGCGCCTTCTTGCAGTTCCTCTCCCGCGCGAGATTCCCTAATGTGGGGGGCGGATCGGACGGTGCTGGCAAGGGATTAAAATGCTTCCCTTGCCTCTCAATGCTGCTTTGGGGGTGGGAAGGCCTAAAAGGGGCGCAGTCTCCGCGCATGTTGTCCAGGCACCCCCCCCCATCAGATAATCTCCGGGAGCCCATTTAGATTGGCAGAATCCTGCCTGGAATAGAGCCTCATCCATCCATCCATCCATCCTCTTCAAAAGGGAGACCTCCATCTGTCTTCCTTTTCTAACCTCATCAGGTCTATGATGTTCAAGCCCCAATACAGGCAAATCTCTTCAAATCCAAAGCAGGTTCAAAAAAGACTTCATTTATTGGAGGATACGTGCAGCTCTAAGCCGAGCATTGCTAAAACTAAAGCCCGTGTAATTTTCCCTCTACTTTTACCCCCCCCCCCTTGTCCCCCCTTCAGTCTAGGGTACGTTCCAATTCCTGATCACGCGCCGTCTTCTTGGCCTTCAGTCTTCCTCAGGTTCTGTCCGCTTTCACTCTCCCCCCGCTTCACCAGTGAGAATGGCAGAATCAAAGCAAGCTAAGAAAACATTCCCTAAAATCAAAGTATACTGTAGCATTTACTATACTAATAAAGCAGTCCTCTGGTTGATATATATCTTGATTGCTGCAGATTCTGACAAACCTGTTGTTGTTACAGACATAATTTATGTAGTGCAATTAAGGGATCTTTTGCAGAATTACCAGTTGCTTAACTTAGGTTTGGACATTGGTTTCCCCACCAGCAGAGTCCTGATGGCTACGAATGGAAGCCCTTCTCCACCCTTGACCTTCAAGGGGCTGAGTATCTCAGCTGGGCCTTCAGATCAAATCCTGCCTTCCCCCATGTGGATGTGTTGGAATGCAGTTCCCATTTTCCCCAGCCAGTGTGCCCGGTGTTCAGCATCCAGAGTTGACTAATCTGTTTTCCAAGCTCAGTCTAAATTAGCGTTTTTCAAATTTTGCAACTTTAAGATGGGTGGACTTCAACTCCCAGGATTCCCCAGCCAGCAGAATGCTGGCTGGGGAATCCTGGGGATTGAAGTCCACCCATCTTAAACTTGCCAAATTTGAAAAAAACTGATCTAAATGAGGGCAGGTACTGGAGAGCACAAAATCTTGCACTCTTTTGTGTCTTTCTCATTAGACCTAACAAAGATTTTTATTTATTTATTTTTGTCCAGTAAAAAGTAAACTTCTTATTGCTTTCTGTTTTACAGACCTTGGCAAATACTTGGGTGGTGGTGTTCCTGCTCTTTATTTGAATTAACTTGTTTGGTCCTGTTACAGGTACTGGGGGCAAACGCTGGAGCAGAGGGCAGAAAATGGCTTGCATGTGCGGCGGGTGTGCAGATCATGCCAAGGGCAAGACAGGTATTCTAATAGTAATAATATCAAGATCAACTCCTGGCATCTTCAGGGACAGAAATGTGTATTTTCACAACCAAGATGCCAATATAATCTTCCAGGATTACTTTTTTTTTTTTTTTCCTATTTCCAGTTCAGATTACAGCTCTGAAGTTGCTTGGTTGTCTCTCATCCAGTTACTAATTGGGTATGACCATGCTTTGGGGCCTCTTGTGTTTTTGCAAGATGGGGGGCGCTCCCAGATGGGTATCTTCTAGTGTTGTGTTATGATTCCATTTCCCAGAATTCCCAGACAGTAACTAACAGGCATTTAGCAGAAGGTGAGTGCATAAAGAAAATGGAACTGCATGCTACTTCTGCCCCAAACATAGATTCAGATACCATTCATTTAGGATAACAAAGCATCAATTGGGTGGATTAAAAATATTTCCAATTATATTTGTAGTAGATGAGGAATCTAAAAATCTCAGGGTTTTTACTCTGCCTTTCTTAGGAGTACATATCACTCACAGAGATTTTAACTCGGTGTTTTTCAAACTTGGCAAGTTTAAGATGTGTGGATTTCAACTCCCAGAATTCCCCAGCCAGCTGGCAATTCTGGGAGTTGAAGTCCACATGTCTTAAAGTTGCCACGGTTGAGGAACACTGATTTAGATTTAATTTATCCGCCCACTCCAGTGGACTTTGGGCAGCTTACAAAATTTTGAATTGATTAAAGTATTAATCCAGTTACATGAGCCACTGTGTAGAATAGTTGTAGTTAACTTTGTAGTGAACTCTGACTTGTGTAAAAAAACTCTTCAGAGCTTCCATAATTGCACAGCTTGATGCTGGAATGGCATGGAAAATTGGGTGCATTTTTTTTTCCAATAATTTATCCCTGGCCCTATCGAAGCTGCATCTGTCTCATCTGTAGCTGATGTAGTCAAAAAGGTGCCTAAAATAACATTTTTCTTTGACGGTCGCTGTTTGGTTTGTTCTCCCATAACTTTTCAGCAACATTTTTGGGAAAATACATATTTTTCATATTCTTTTGTGAATGATTGCATTTTGTAGTTTGTATGTGAAGCTGCATAAAGCAATGAATTCAGGATTTAGCTGGGGCTACAGCCTGGGTGATTAAGATAGGTTAAGCGCTAAAAGAGAATTAGATTAAGCCATGTCAATAGCATTGTTCTCAGAATTCTCCTTTTGTCTTAATTTGCGTGATGGGGTTTGTGTGGAGGAGAAATCCTTTAGGATGGAAAGTGTGAAAGAAATCAAGAAAAATCCTGTTTTCTGAGATTTAAAAAGATTTTAGCTTAGTTTTTGTTACTCAGAGTTTAGGAAAAAAGGCATTTCAGTGAGTAAATGACTGCCTAGCCAATACTATTGAAAGGGAGTAATTATTTTAACTGAAATTTACCATACGTATAATATAAACTAACTTTATAGATGATGCATATGTCCCAATCAAGGAAAGAAGCTGCAGGTAAAATACTTCGTAGCATCTTGTTCCGTCCACATTTTTTAAAAAAAATAAAAGATGGCAATCATTTTGGACGTAATCTTCCCAAATCCTCTTTTTTAAAACGGGTGCAGTAATGAATTACATTTTCTTTTCTCCTTCAGTAGGCAAAATGTTCAGATTCATTTTTTCTTGGAAACATTTAAATCTTAGGCAATCCATTATTAATAAATGTCTGTTTTCACTCTTTGAGGGAAATACTTGATGATTCACAATCCTCTGGAATTGAAAATGAATAAAAGCTGTGAAGGAAACTTGTGCCTTATTTTTGGAGTCCTGCAGTAGCCTGGCTTTCAGTCTAATTCTCTTTTTCTTCCCATCAGCTTCCAGGAGGAAAGACGATGAGGTGGATTGGCGCTTGGGAGTTGGACCTGGCGGTTCATAAAAGCCTGTTCCAAGTTGACGTAAGAGAAAACTTGCAGATCAGTCTCAACAGAGGCTTATAGCTGGTGTAGTTCTAGACTCTTCCTCTTAGTTAATTCAGGGGATCTCAAATGGAGGTGGGATTATAATCTTTTTTTTTTTTTTTTTAAACCTGATAGGCATAGTAGAAGTTTAATAAAAACTCATTCTGGCCTTTATTTGTTAGATTCATATCCTGGCTTTATTTTGGGCAACTCTAAGCAGGCACATAATGTCCCTGTCTTTTATTTCCCCCACAACATAACCCTGTGAGGTGGGTTGGGCTGAGAAAGAGCACCTGGCCCAAAGTCACCCAGTTGGCTCTCCTGCCTAACGGAGGACTAGAATTCACCGTCTCCTGATTTCTAGCCCAGCACTTTAGCTGCTACACCCAACTGGCTCTCTAGCTCAACCTTCACCCCAATGAAGTCATTTGCTTTGCAGTATTCATAAGGGGGATGTGTTTTGCATAAATTAATACATAGTTTTAGAGAGCCATCATATAGAAGTTTGAGGTTCCCTAAATTCCTTGTGTCAAGTAAATGGGTTGGCATGTTAAACCAAGAGCTGTGGCTTAGCCAGTGGCCACAAGATCTCCAACAACATGCAAGAATGAGATGAGAAGGACTTTGACTTCCCAGCCATTGATAGCTGAGGACATCACTCGACCTTCCTACACTCTGAAGCATTAACTGGTCTGTAGGGTTGAGCACCTCTTTATTCTTTTGCATGTTCCTATCAGGTAGTGTTTCTCAACCTCAGTAACTTTAAGATGTGTGGACTTCAGCTCCCAGAATTCCCCAGTCAGCCATGCTGGCTGGGGAATTCTGGGAGTTGAAGTCCACATATCTTAAAGTTGCTGAGGTTGAGAAACATTGCTATAGGAGTTGAAGTCCACATATCTTAAAGTTGCTGAGGTTGAGAAACATTGCTATAGGAGTTGAAGTCCACATATCTTAAAGTTGCTGAGGTTGAGAAACATTGCTATAGAATTTTGAGAGGTGCTTTTATGCTCTCTCTAGAAATGGTTCCCATGGTGGTCATATCCATAACTTGCTTCTTTCTGTTCTCTTTTGCCTCTACAAGGGCTTGTTTAAGCTGAGTTGTTTTTTTAAGATCACACAAGCAATCTGGGTCAGTGTTCATCGGCAACCTGGAACGGCTTTCATTCAGAGACTTATTTTTTTTCCAAATAGTATTTTCATTTAATAGTTACTATCTGGAAATGTTGGATGTTGTAATGCTCGTTCCAGCTGAGATTTTTAAAATCCTAACCCCATGCAAGCCCTGCTGCTTTAGCTTTTGCAACCTTGAATGATTTTAATTCAGATGTTGGCTATTTTTGTATTTTTCAGTTAACTGTCTGGAAGCGTTCGATGCTTGGAGAGCATGTCATTACCTTTTCATAGACGTCAAGGCTAGTAGCTCATCCTGCAAGGTACTCTCTCTGTTTATCATTTTCATGGAGATGTGTGCTGTTTCTATAGGATGCAAAGAGGAAATGGAAGAACGGTAGCATTCTGGACCCTCCCTATCCCTTTCCCATCAGATCCAATTACTGATCTCATGGTCAAAAAGGAGGGAAAGTAAAACAGAAGCTGGTCCTATCATCTTTGCTGGGGTGAATGCAGCACTGAACTGGGCTAGCTTGAAACAGAGCTAGGAGCAAGACTGACATACATTCCATAATTTTCCATCAAGCATAAATGCGTGCTTAGACTTTAGCCAAATGGGGTAGGTCTTCTTGAACTTAGCAGTCCCCGCTCTTCAAAAGGGTCTCCGGTTGGGGAAAACTAATGTCAAATGATGCTGGCTTGGTTGTACACTCTGCGGGAAATAATTAGACTTGGCTTTGAGCAGATGGGCTACCCATTTGCACGGTAGGTTTTCCCTACTTAGGTTCTAAGTGGTCAAAAGAGCTTTATGCAGAAGTGCTTACTGAATATACTAACTTTTTAGACTGTTTTCCTTTATGTCGCTTCTTTTAACATGGTACTATTAGCATGCACGGTCTTTTATTTACTACCATTTTATGGAAACTTTTTTGAATTTTTATTTGGGAATTAGTTGTAAAGCTGTATATGGACCTATCGGTGCCCACGTTCTTTCTACAGGAGTAACGGTGCCATGTGGTGACCCTCCGTTTTCTTTCTGAAGAGGGCCATCTGCTGGTGAAGTGGATGGCTCAGAGAATGACGACAGTGTAAATGTGAGTTCTTCCTGCTGTTCATCCACCTGCATTAGGTAGTGTAGCCAGTAGCCACCTTTTAAATGGCTCTGGTCACGCAGCATATGAGTGTCTGTGGAGGTCCACGCCACCTCTGCCTTGTCTATGATGACACATTTTTCTAATGGTGACAGCTGGATGAATCCTGCGGATATGGGGCTGAGATGAGGCACGGTGTGTTGGTGACATTGTTTGTTTCCAGAAATTGGGGTCTTTGGTCTCTGCTTTGCTAGCTAGCCAAGTATTCTGGAGTGCAGGAGGGATGCCTGGGTCACACGCAGAAGGATAGCAGAGAGGAGGTTTTGGGGATGAAAAATTTACCTGGGGGTGTTTTAATTTTGCACTTGGGCGTAACTTATTCTGTATTATGGCAATAGTACAGAAAGACCAGCCCTTCTAATCTTCAAACTGGATATGGAAGCAGGAGGAATGGGTACATTTTCCAGATGAATGCTTCTTGATAGCTAATAGGGTTCGTGCTCTGTAGGCACTCCCCTTCCATGGAACAGCTTGTTCCCCCACCCCCCAGTAAGGACAGCCCCACTCTTACTGCATCCTATAAACCAGAGTTTCTCAATCTCCGCAACTTTAAGATGTATGGACTTCAACTCCCAAAATTCCCCAGCCAGCATGGGGAATTCTGGGAGTTGGAAGTCCATGGCTGGCTAGGGAATTCTGGGAGTTAAAAGTCCATACAGCTTAAAATTGCTGAAATTAATAAACACTGCTATATATATTATAAGAGCCTTCTGTCTTCTGGAATGCTTTTGGCAATTGCTTGCAGATAGCAGAATTAGTTCTATCATGCTGTTATCCTGCATTACATTTTCTATCTTGATTTTGTAGTACTGCATTTTTATTACACAGTACTTATAAATTCCCTTGAGTGCCGCTGAATGGAGGCACTATATCAACTTCATTAATAACATGAAGAAAATGGTTGTTTCTGTTTTGGCTAAGCTTTCCTTGCTCAACCCTAATTACTGACCAAGAAGGCTGGAGGTTAAACTTTTTAACCATTTAGAAAGCAGCAGGGTTGGGATGTTTTTTAGAGATGGATTACAAAATTTACTTCATATTTTTTTCTAGGGTCAAGCATACATCATGGCTCAACCAGGCAAATTTATACATTAAAATGTGACAGTCAGTCTCTCTCTGAACTTGTGATGAGCACTTAAACTCATGCAGCCTTTCATCAAAAAACCCATAGATTCCTTTCCCTTCTCCATCCCTCCTTACAAACTCAAGAGACAAGACACTTTAGTTTTGCCATTGTTAAACCATTGAGCCCAAAACAGAAAGAGGCTAGCTAACCACCTATTAATACATTATTTTCTACAGCTGTGAGATAGAAAATTACAAGAAATGTTTAAAAATGTATGTATATTTTGTAGGTCTTCAGAGATTTCCTTGGAATTTGCCATAGATATGCTGAAAAAGCCAAGGGCTTGCTGAAGATAGGAAAAAGCCTCCAGCAACAATTTCTGAAATTTCCTAACAGCTGTCTGATATGGTTGTGTTTTTCTGTAGTTGTATGGATTAAAAAGATTTTGTTTCTTTTCAAGTGTTCTGGGGGGGGGTTTGTCCTCCCCGACCCCTTGATGAGCCTTGAGGCATAAATGCACCCCAGTGTTCTTAACCACCACTGATTTACGCACTAAAGTGGGTTAATCCTGCCAGACAAACCGGCAACCAGCTTTAAACATCAAGCTAAATCATGGTTTGTATTTAGGATTACAGATTTTAACAGATATATTTCAACTATTCATTGAAATAGGCTCAGAGGACAAACTGTAGGGAACAATCTGAAGTCTAGGTGTGCTTGTTTTGAACATTTCTTGGCCTCAATTTGAATTAGAGCATCATTCTTTTTCAAAGATAAGACATGATTAAAGGTGTTAGAGAATGTTGCAAGTCAGAGCAAACAATATAGGCTGGGCAGATAAATGGCTGATCTAACTCAGAAACGGGCTTGATTCAAATTCTGTGCTAAGCCATAGCTTATGTAAATAAACTGCAGTTGGTTAGATTTGTACAGAACATCTGAGTAATCTGCAGCTCACATACCACAGTGGCAGGGTGGATGCAATGTCAATTGTCACATTGTGAGTGCAGGATGTAAGCATAGCCAGCATTTTTCTCCATGCCTTTTGATTCTGAAGCATCCAAAAGCATGTGTGTGCAAACTTTGGCATTCAAAAACACGTTGATACTTGATGCTTTTCATGCACGGTTGATCCTTAGATCATCTGGATTTAGAAAAGGGGACTACAAAGAATAGGAGGGCTGATAAGGTGTAATTGTTTGGTCTGTTCCATTTCTAGGACTACTGCGCCTTTCACAACTATGTCATTGAAATTCAGCACACCAGGGTTATGGATGAAACAAAAGCAGTTGAATTTCTTTGTGGGGTGTCTTTCAAATGGGGAAAATGAGTGGCCACTCTGTTGACTGGAGGAAACAGCTATCCTCTGCAAAGGGATGTGCATTCAAAATTGGTTAAACACAAATGTAATGGAGAAAGATAGGAATGCTTATTAGAATGTAATCCCAGCTAAAGTTTCTGTTCAATATGGAGAGGTTGGTGGCAACCACTCTTGTTTATCATTTCATGTACTCCAGACTTTCCAAGGTCTTCTAGATGTGTTAGCAAATAGGGGAATTATAGCCTGGCATGAGTTGAGGGCCTTAAGATGGGGAAATTTGATGTAGTGGTTTACAGATTTGGGGAGGACTTGGGAAATCCAAGTTCAACCTTCTACTTGGTCATGAAAGGGCTTTGTAGTAGCCATGTGAGAAGAGGGCTTTGGTCTTCCAAAGTCTTTGTGGACCCTGAATAATCTTGATTAGTGGAAATTAGTAACAGTTTCCTGCCATGGAAGTCATGAAAACATGGGAAACTTTTAAAGTAGTCAAAAAGCACAGAACATGACAAAAATTCAAAATATACCCACTTCTGTGATGTAGTTTCATCTACATTGTGGCTCTTCCCTTCCTTTCTCCAATTTTTAAGTACAGCCCTTTGTCGCCAAAAGTTTATCCACCACAATGTAGATCATCAGGAGAACACTGAATGAAAATTAGAATAAAGTGCTCTTGCCAGCTTTTATTTCTTGCCATTTTAGGAAGTTTCTGTGTTTTAGAAAGTAAATCCAGCCTAATTTTTAAAGAAATTTTCTTTTAGAAGAGAATAGATGTAGCTCACAGTTGAACTGTATAGTCCTTGGGGTTCTCTGAGCTTTGTTGTTTTCTTGCAGCACTGAAGATGTTACCTAGTCAAGTAACAAAACGTCTGCAAGAAAACAATGAAGCTCAGAGAACCCCAAGGACTCTACAAATTTTCTTTTAAAACCACCCAGGAAATTAAATCTTGAGCTTGCCGAAGTGCATGATGTGGATATCTGCTGTAGTCCTACAGATTCATTCTCTCCCGGGCAACCAGATTTTTCTAGCCTTACAATCTGGATTCAACGATGAATAATATCATCATCATTAATTAAACTTGTATGCTGCCCAACTCTCAACAACTGGGTGGCTCACAAGAAACAAATTATAAAATCGATAAAAGATAAAAGACGGCAAGTGCAATGAAGTGAGGGGTCCCACTCTCCCTTCCCAAAGGCCTGGTGAAGAACCAGGTCTTCGTGGCTCTTCTAAACATGTATGTATATTTGGTATGTTTTCCAGGCATATAATATACCCTAAGTCAGCAGCTTTCAACTGTCAGTGGCTATCTGGGGTCTGCGTAAGTTAATGGAATATTCAAGATGTGTATGTGCCCTTCTGATCCTAACTGGAATTCAAGACAACAAGATTATGAGATAGGTTAAGAAGCTCCTGGTCACAATCTTTCAATTTTTGAAACAACTCTGGCACAATCTTCTAATAGGTCGATACAGGTAATCCTCGACTTACAACCATTTGGCAACCGTTCAAAGTTACAATAGTGCTGAAAAAGGAAACTTCTGACCAGTCCTCAAAGCTGTGGCCATCCCAGCATCCCCACAATCACATGACCGCGGGGGTGCTGGGATGGCCATAGCTTCAAGGACTGGTTGAAGCTGACTAGGTAATTCTAGGAGAAGTCCACCCATCTTAGAGTTGCCAAGTTTGAAAAAAACTGCTAATAGTGGAATATTAGGAGAGAGTTGTGTGTTCTGTGTAAACCAGCTTTCCAAGCGAATTACTTTCTCTGTCAATATTTTGCCTGTTAGATGTATGGTCTGCCTTTCAGATGAAATGAATTTGGAAAGAAAAAGCAAAAAGGGGCCTCTTGCTCAAGAACTTTTGTCCTGTATGTGCAAAATAGATGGAGTGAATTAGTCCACGTGCATAATATTGGAGGGGCGCTGTTGGCGCGTGACAACAGGGCCAGAGGGAAGAGATTAGATAAGAGCTGGAGGCAGCTAAGGAGAGCACGGAAGGGCAAAGCAGAACTCTTCACCCACAATCCCTTCCCAGACCTGCATTATCTCTGCTTTTGGAGATGGGGGTTTGCTGCACTGTAAGGAACCAAAGTCCTCCAGAAAGGTCTGTCTTTAAGCGCTTTGCTGAAGCTGCCTGGTTTGCAACAAATCTCAGTACACCAATAAATGCCTGGAAGTATTTATGGATAACAAGATAGCCAAAGACTGATTTTTCAAGAGATTGACATGCAAAGGAATGGGGAGTTGTGGAAAAAGTCTGCGTTTTGTTCTGAAAAGCTACGCGTGGGGATGTGATACAGCTAAGTTTGCAAGTAGCAGAGAGAAAACGGGAGGATTTTCTTTACCTCCTCCCTTTTTCTCCTTTCTGGAATTTGAGTGCTCCTAAAAACACATTGCTATAGATTTGGGTCATAGTCCTCTGAACCGACAAACAAGCCCAACTCCTACCGGAGAGAACATCTGCACCATCTTTGATAAACTTGATTTCTACAGAAGAGGAATCCACCAAGTTCTACATCTAGTCTTTGAGAAGCAAGGTTGTTCGAGGATAAGGGAACATCCTTTGTTCCACAACTGTTTGCAGCAGTTCGGAGAACTCGGAGCTGATATTCTGGGGAAGTGTGTTAGGCACAACTCTTTATCCACCCAGCCACGGGCACGCATCTGAAAGAAACAGAATTCTGTATTTATATAGTCAACGTATGTGTCCACCCAACTCAAATGTGACTCCGATTAAAACAAACAGGACATCAAACAAAAAAAATCTAAAAATACATAATGAGAGCCAGTTTGGTCTGTCTAGTGCAGTGTTTCTCAACCTTGGCAACTTTAAGATGGGTGGACTTCAATTCTTCGAATTTTGGGAATTTCATACCCCCCCTCTTTAAGTTGCCCAAGTTTAGAAAAAATGGACTAGACAGACCGAACAGGGTTCCATTATT